GCATTGTTCATGACATCTGGACTCACACCCTGCGTGTGCACAGATATATGCTGCCTACATATATACCCAGCTTTTTCTATAGCATTCCATATGCTTTGATACCGAACTGTGTGTGTGTGTTCAAAGATAAGATGGAGAACAGAGGGAGGAGAACAAAGCGACTACGCTTCTCTTATGTCGACATAATAATACATTTCAGCACTATTACCCCACACATTCATCCTACACAGATATCTTCACAATAAAAGATAAGACTCCAACATTTTGCTCTGCCATTTGTGCATGCTGTGGAGTCCTTAAGTGATGTGGAGATAACCAACCCAGCCTCCCATTCAGCATGGTTTCCTGGTGCAGGGACTGGGAAATGGTAGACCACACTGCTCGCTCTCAGATGGATACTTCGCCCGGAGCTACACACCCCGGCGACCACAAATGGACCGGGCCTGCCTGTAATAAATTGGCGGAATTGGGTCGTGGACTTTAAGAGAGAATCATTATCCAACTGCGCTTTTGTCAGGATGTGGTGTTTCACGAGCATTCTCTCACTTTCTTCTTGTTCTGACTCCCCATTAGCAACTCAAATGTCTTCCATATGTCTGTTTGTGTACAGCACGGCTGCTCTCTTAAAACTGTTCCCTTTGTGGTCGGCTGCAAACACGGCATCGTGAGGAGTGTGTGCGGTAAAGCCATATGTTAGTGTTGACCCATCATAGTAACCTGCTTTGATATCTGAAAGGTCTGTGACCAGCTCTGAACCGAGAAATATTACACGTTGGAACTTTTAAAGCTCGACGCCTTCCCAGCTGCTTTCCTGGTCCCAGATTTTTGATAGCTGCAAATAATTTTCATAATTATGTCCCCCTCCAACTCACCGTCTGTGAACGCGCTTATGTTTAAACAGGTGGAGAACTCTTTTTTTTTCCTTGACTGCTTTGTCTGTGACACCACCAAGGAAACAAGGGGGAGATAAAAGCGTGCCGTATCGACATCATTTTTCACATTATTGGATAAAAACGAACACGGACGTCTCTTTGATTTGATTTCAACAAATGTCATGTTTTATATGGCATTGTATTCCAGGCCTAACATGGAATAATCTGATTCTCCTTCCCTGGATAATGCCATTACACTGACTGATTTTTTCTCCTGGCTATTTCTCATGCATTTCTCCTGGCATGGCATCATCCGCCTCGACCCGTCAGTTTTAAACCGAAGCGTCAAGCACCTCCGGATTCCTCGCCACTTCCTCTCAAATCGCATTAAAAACTTTCAGTGTGCGTGACTAATTATTTTCTCACCACCGCATTTGGCTCCGGTAAAATAATTTCTCCTTTTCCCTCACCGTTCATCTGATATTCGTTTATGCACTCTGCACTCGCTGAGCCGGGGGAACGTGTTGTTGCAGAGAAACCTGAAACATATGAGTCCAATTCACTTCACCCACGTGGAACACCAGTGTTTTTTAGGACTCGAGAAAGGACTTGTTATGGACGCTGAGTGAAATGTAATTGCGCTGTTATTGCAGCTGTCCCAGTGAGGAGGAAAGCAGACGTTTAAAAAGCACAACATGTTTCCGAGAAGACATTTTTGCTGACAGCCTTTCTGGCCGCCAACACACACCTCTATCCCATCAGTTCACTCTGTCATCTACTGTTACCCCTCGTCCACCACACGGCCAACAAACACAAGCACATACACAGATTTTCCTCATTCAAGAAGCTCTCTTCCTAAACACTGATTCCTCTAAAATTGCATAAATTATTAGGTGATATTTACTTGAACAGAAATGTATGCACACGCCCCCACCTGCCCACCAAATCACTGTCCGAGCCTTATAAGAGCTGACACTCGGTCAAGCCGCGCTCACTGCACCTCCTCAGCTCACCTCTGTTTAATTTGCTTGTCATGTTCTTTCATCAGCCAGCTCGTTAGCAGCGTGCTGGTGTTGAGGGAGATGGTATCGCCATGTCAACCCTGTCGATGATCACACAACAAACACACATACACACCGATACAGGTTTGTGGTGTGTAGTCGAGTCGCACACGTATCAGTGAAATGAGGCAGTGGCTGCTAAACTGTATTTTATGTCTTCAGCATACTAGAAATACACAGTATACATTAAGCAAAATATGACTTTATTATATAACATTTTATTAGCTATAATAAGGCGCTCTGATTCACACAAACAGAGAGCGCAGAGAGAGTAATTTGCATGAGCAGTGAAGTTTAAAATCCAGGGAAAACGGGCCAGCAGTAATGTGGCCAGTCCACAGATTAATTGTGAAGTACAGTAGTAAAACACATTTTAAATCCTGTGAAGGAACAAATACTGAGCTCCAAAGTCACTGATGTATAAATTAAATCTGAACTAGTGAGACATATGACATTTAACACATCAAACCATGGCAATCAATATTCATTTTAAGGGTTTGTTTTTTTTTCAGTAATTTTGAATTATTATAAAGTATATTTGTGATGTGATCGGTGCACCTGAGAATACCTATACCTACCCAAATTTCCAGCCTCCGTTTCTTGAGGTCTTCTTAGTTGATTCCAACGATCATTCTCAACGCTTTCTCTCTTTGGACATCATCATGACACTCTCCAGCACCGTTAGTGTTTGACTGTTTGACGTGATGATTTTGCCAATAGTCCCTTTCAGCTGTGAAGACACTGGGAGATGTGTTGAACTAATTTTAACTCATCCGTATTTTATTTTGTCAGCGGCAGTAAAACGCACGTGGCATCAGAGACTTGTGCAGATTAAACTGGGATAACACTTTAAGACTACAAACGGACTCAGAACTCTCCAGCCAAGCAGCATCAGGACTCCACATAACCCACAATGCAACACTCATTAAATTACAGACTCACCCTGTAACGCAGGGACCGGTGCAATTCAAAGAGAACATCTGCTGTTTGGAACCTCAAAGACAACCCCACAAACATTTTATTTTTTCTATTTTTCCGGGAAGAAATATCCTGTCATTTTGTGGTCGATATGTTTTTTATTTTTTGTTTTGTATGTTGATGTCGCTTTTGGAGGCTGCATTAGAATGTCAGTACAAACTCTACGCTGTCTGGCATTCCTGTAAATACAAACAGGAGTATGCACGCACATCCAAATCAGTGTGGGCAGGTGCTGAGCCGAAAGTATGTAAGCAGTTACCAAAAAAATGACTTGCTCACACACTGCAGGGCGTCAGTGTCCACCTATTTGGTGCTCAAGTTTGCATGTCGAAGTATCAAAGTGTGTTAAAAACTGAGTAGCAGGTGGCACCTTGTATGGTAGCCTCTGCCACCGGTGTATGAATGTGTGTGTGAATGGGTGAATGTGACTCGTAGTGTAAAAAAAACCAAAAAAACGTTCTAAGTCGTGAGAAGGCTAGAAAGGCGCTATACAAGTGCAAGTCCATTTACCATTTATGTTTTGAGGTTAGTACTCTTGCGTTGTGTAGATAAAATGATAACCCACTTGGGGCGTCGGTGGCTTAGTGGTAGAGCAGGTGCCCCATGTACAAGGCTGTTGCTGCAGTGGCCCGGGTTCAACTCCAGCCTGTGGCCCTTTGCTGCATGTCTCTCCCTCTCTCTCTCCCCCTTTCACGCTTTGTTGTCCTATCAATTAAAGGCAAAAAATGCCCATAAAAATATCTTTAAAAAAAAGAAATGATAACCCACTCTCAGTCACTGTTCAGCTTGGACTATGGATTTATTTCAGCACTGGTGAATATAAAACAAAAAAATCAGCCTTTGTAGCCAGCTTTCATTACCAGTGCAGCTCAGCATGCACTGAAACAAAACGATATTGATATCCTGACTTCATATGAGCAGAGGAAATCTCCGCTCATCGCTAGGCTAATTTATACAATGTAAAATGCCATAGGCTTGTGCTAATAACGTTAGCATGTTGTATTTGTTTTGAAAACGTGTTTAGTATAAGACAGTTGTTTTGTCAGTGAACTTTGTGAGTTGTAATGGAGCTGAATTTTGTAACGTTACCTTTGTTAAATGTTGCTGTTGCCCCTGGCTTCATATGAGTAGAGGAAAAGTCAGCTAGCCCCTAGGCTAATTTACGCAATGTAAAATGCCATAGACTTGTGCTAATAACGTTAGCATGTTGTATTTGTGGGGGAAATGTGTCCAGATAAAGACAAGTGTTTGTCTGTGAATGCTGTGAGTTATAGTGAAGCTGATTTGTGTACTTGTGTTTGAAATTGTCTCTATTAAGCCATGTTTAATGTGTGTTTAATGTGTGTTTTGAATCAACTAAACTTTACAGCACTTCACAGAAACCTCTGCCGCCTACGAGTGTTCTGTAACTGCAGAGTGATACAGACACAACCCCGCACAAGTATAAATGCTAACAATGGCGTAGGCCACATGCCTAGGGTCTGCCGCACAACTATAAATCCCGCTTAATGGCCAACAAGCTAATCACCCACAGAGTAACCTGCACAGCTACTTGCTCCAAATACATCTCCAACCACCCAACATCATCACAGAACATTAATTAGTGTTTTCAGGAGCTTTTTTTGGCACATTTATGGCAATGAAAAACACTTTTAAACATAACATAAAGTATTATCCACGGAGCTTAGCCAAAGTCAACCTACCGTGAGTCCAGAGACAACAGACTGTAACAGAGCATGAGAGCACTGCTCTTGTAGACTCTGAGGCAATCTATTAAGCCAAGGATTCCTAATTGATATAAAGATCTTATTTGGTGTATTATGCCTTTAAAGATATTATCAGGGGGCTTTTCATCCACTGCCACAGGTGCATGTTTAGTGCCGTTGTCATCATGGAATCACACCTACTAATTACCTGTTCCCCAAGTGTAGCCTTACACACAAGAGGCATCACACTGACAAACCACCTGCTGCGCTGAGGGAAATATATTCCATCATCTAAGTTTGTGTGTTTTTCCTCTCATTTCCAAAGACAGCAGTGTTCTGGCTTCATTACTGTGTCTTAACTCGTCATTTGGTGGATGTTACAGGTGAGCAATGGGACGGAGACGCCAAGCGGACGCCACTCAGTAACAGTTGACAGTCAGGTCCAGAAACAGCAGCAGGAGGACAGAGACGGTTTCCAGCAGGCACAGAGACAATACAGCTCGCTGCCACGGTGAGACCTCGGCTCCCTCCCCTCTCTGTGACTTATCACGTTCTTCTTGCCCTTTCTCAACCTCTTCATTTGACTTTTTCCGATTTCCATCAATTCCTTGTCCTCATATTTGTTCCTTTTACCCTCTTTTCTCTACACTTTCTTTAACGTATCTCTTTGGTCACAAAGTCAGTCACCACAAAGCCACATTCAACTCATCTCCAGACAGAAAACCCTTTGAATGAAATCATTTAATGTGATCGCCTGGAATTATTTGACTGATATTCACTTTCATTAAGTCAATGTTGACCCTGAAGAAGTGGTGACTTTGTCACAAGCATCAGCCCCCCCTCCCCCCTCTCTCCAGCATTTCCAGTGTAATGAATAATTGCTCCAATATCATGTTTTTAAAAAGGAATTTTCTCTTGGCAATGTCTTGCCTTACACAGCTTGAGTTCAGAGCTACAGTCGCTGCTCTTCATCTCCTCCATCTTCCTGTTTCGATTCTTTTGCATATTTTTCAAAGACATGCCAATAAAGCTTACCATATCTTACATCTCGAGGCGTTTGGGGGGAGAGAGTTTAGTATCGGTATTTGCATTTCCTGCCTTTACTCTGTGCGTGTGTCTGCTCCTCTACCAATCCTCTGAAGCTCTCTAATCACACTTTAGTCAATGCAAATTGCAAAGCCAACAACTGCTGGTGGAAAATGTTCACTTTTAAGTTCTTACATCCTTAAAGAGGAAGTCACCAAAGATTCACAGTCTATACTTTGACTGACTGACGCAGGGATTTAAAGATAGTGATAAAATAAACATAATTTCCTCTGTTTCCTGATTGAAAACAATCCAATGTGAGTTTTTGTATCATGAAATGTACAGCGTGTTCTAAATGTTGTAAGTGAAGCCAGAATGAAGTCTGATTTATTTAAGTTTTGCTGCTTTGCCAGTTTAAACAAAGACAGAACACTTTAAGTGTGTGTATATGTGTGTGTGTGTGTGTGTGTGTGTGTGTGTGTGTGTGTGTGTGTGTGTGTGTGGTCTTTTTAATTTTCTTGGCCGGAGTAACTCTGCTCTCCTGTGATTTTAATCTTGCCTTACACAAACAGCAATCATTTCTTCATAACCATCCTCTTTTGCTCTGCTGTCTCAGAACAGTCACAGCCGGGTCGATTAAAACATGCTCCCGTCTATAGCTATGGATTTGCGGGTCCACATGGACGCATAATCAATGTGGCCTGTATAAGCCAGAGTGATCTGTGCATTCACTTCATATGTGTTATCTGCTGGCATCTCATGTGATGTGACAGTTGCTTCCAGCCCTCCCCTCTCGCTGAGCTCCTTCTCTTGGGAAAGTTGGTCTGGTGGGCCAAAAAGCCAGGCAAGGACGGCCTTTGATATGCATTCCTCTCATAATCTCATAGCGTCTTTTAGCAAAGAGTCGCATGAGCTCAGGCTTGACGTTTGACCCCGGCTAAGGCTTTTTCAGAGCTTGTGTCTCGACGCGGCTCCTCATTAAAGAGCTAAAGTCTTATATCCCCAGATTAATAACTGCAATTCCTCTAACTCCAACCACCTCTCTTCTGGAACCCCTTCATCCTGTCCTTCTCCTCCAAAACAGGAAGCCTGAGCAGTCAGCCGAAAAGGGGACATTCCCTAAAAAAAAAAGAGCTTCCAGAAGAGGCCATGGTAGCTGGTTATCTGATGACGGCCAGGCTTAGCTGGCTGTCTGGGATGTGAGGATTGGAAGAGCACTAATGAAGGCTTGTTGTCGGAGCAGGATTAGCGGTGACAGGCAGTGGAGGGCGAGAGGGGCCGGGAGAGGAACGAGTGTGTTAGTAGGAAAGAGAGACCACTGATTAGCCTGAAAGAGACACACAAAAATACACACACATAAATGTGGTCAAGATAAGGTTCTTAAATGTGGCCTGAGTGAACTGCCAGTAGCTCCTCCATCTCTCCCGCAGCCAAGACAACATTGTTCCACGCTATAAAGAAAACATTATTCCAGGTTTGTAGACAATTTATTTGTACAATATAGCAACGATTGTTCCACTGCCCATTGCACGCATTTGGGTTTTTTTCCCTAATCACTTTGCGTCCGTGCATGTGTGTGTGCTCTTTCCTCCTCCTCATAAACTCTGATTCTTCCCAGCTGTTTTAAAGAAACACACAGCGGCCACAAATTTTTCTGCAAGCCAACTTCCTGGCTTTGTTTGTTATGTTCTGTCATTCTAAATTTACCCCACTCTTTGGCATGATGTATTTTCCCATCCCCTCCCTCTGTAGATGTAACTAATCCACTTTGTGACATATTCTGGCGCAGGAGTAGAGGTGATAAGAGAACCAACTCCCCTGACGCATCAATCACGATCACATTCCTGTGGAACGATGCCATTTCTGCTCTGCTCTCATCGCCACTGAAGACTTCCCCCTAAATTTCCCTTCTTCCCTTTTCTACTTTAAAACCTAAAAGGTCACTCTGGAAACACAGATCGCTGCCGCGTGCAACAGGCGTCCCGGGTTTCCAAATAAGCGGCTCCCTCATGAGCGTCGCTGGCTGCTCTGTAAGCCAAGCCGGGGTGTAAATGCATGGCGACTCGCCCAGACAGCCAAAACCCAGATATGGAGCATGTGGTGGGGCTCTCTCTGCAGTCTGTCCCTACATCTGCCCCTCCGCCAATTACCCTCATACTTACACATGCTCTACATGCGTGCACACACATACACAGAGCGGGACAAGATAATGTGTTTGTGTCACACATGTACGGAACATAAATGCAGAAGTGTGGACTTAAGCTTACAAAGGCTCAGATACGAACACACTTCCCTTTGATACTGTGGACCACATTCATTAGTGATGCTGGATGTGTAGGCTCCTCATTAGCATTACATAGAGATGGCGATTAAAAAAATGTCTAAAGGGGACCTATGATGCGTCTCCTTTGTTTCTGTCACATATGTATCATGTTACAGTGTTGGATGTGCATATTAAACATAGTAACCCCTGTGAATAAAAACCTCAGACCATTCTGAATACTCTGTTTCCAACTGTTTTTTTTCCACTTTTAAGACAAGCTCACTGCACCTCATGACACATTCCTTTATATGGTCATCTGCTCCATACACAGTACTGCAAATACATCACATAGCCTACACTGCTACATGTAGCTACATGCTAACATCAGGCAAACATGTCTTGGTTGGTTGCAGATGTTGTTAATTTCTCCCTGATTTTGGATCATATTCCTGCTGGAACATGTCCGGTTGTGAAGATTTTGGTCAAGAAACTTTAACTGGTGATTGTAATTGTTAGAAATGCCACGACACAACGTTATAGTCATTCCCCAGCTGCAATGATGGTGCAGAGACGCTAAGAGCACCGATACGGAAGACCCAGAAACATTTAAACAGTACATTGACATGCACAGTGAAGTCGAACTAAGGTTACAGCTCGACAAGGACTAACTGGACTACTGTCCTTGTACAAGTATACAAGCTCAGGAGGGGAGTCGATGTATAAACTGAAGTACGTCCGACTCCTCTACGATAGGTGCCAATATGCCCCCTTTCAGCTTGTTAGCATTGGACCTTTTTCCGGTTGACCTATTACATCACAGACCAAACAATTGAGCGTCGACCAGCTGCTCTGCCTCTTTTTTTCCACAGGTCACCTTTCACCTTTCCATGTTTTCCTCCATCCATGTACTTGAAAATATTTAAGTCTTTCAGCTGACGCAGAGTGAATTGTATCTCCTCATCTGTCCAATAATGCACGGCTCTGGATGTTGATTTCGCCATGTTGTTACAGGCTACTTCTTCTGTTACTACTTCTGGGTCAGAGCCCGGAGTGAAAAGTGTTTGGGTCTGATTGACTGTTGTTATGCCCCTGGGCAGCAGTATGTGACAAACAAAACTCAACTACTGACCCAAAATAACTACATAAGACATCTTTCAAACACTCAAATCAATGGGATTTATTAACAGATAAAACAAGAAAACAAGACAACAAAGATCCCAGGCTGAGAGGCAGGAGGATCAGCAGTCCCCACACCAGAGGCCTCTCTCTCCTCTACTGCTGCTCCTCCATACCAGGTGCACTGCATCTCGTTAAGCAATGCAGCACACCTGGGCAGATCTACAGTGGAGGGAAAAGGGACAGCAGCACAGAACACACACAGCCAAAGTAATACAGCTCCCAGTCACATTATCTCAAAGTCTGACTTTGAGAAAGTTGCTGTAGTACGATTTCAGTCAGACCAACATGTTTACATGTGTTTTAAAAGTCTGGTTTCAGTCGGACAAACACAATAAATCTTTCGTCTCTAAAGTCATGTTAACCAAAAATACAAGTATGAACCTAAAAATGAACATAATAGGTCCCCTGTAAGGGAGAGTTGAATTTATGACAAGATAACAGAAGATATAATTGCATTGCTCGTTTGTGCTGCAAGTCGAGCCGTTATTTTTGCACCAGGTGGCAGACACACATGCACAATAACATTAACTTGTCAACTATCTCAGGAGCTTGTAGGAGGAAACAGAAGCAAGTCCCTAACGTATAGCTACAGTTTTGGACAACCATGACTTCTCTTTTGTGGCTACATGTAGTCTCCATTTCTACGAAGCCTTTAACCTACAGCACAAGTACAAAGTATGAATCAGTCGTATTTGGTTCAGTCAGATTTGTAATCTTATTTTTCCTGTGGAGCAGCATCACAGCACACACAGAATAAGAGAAAAATAATCATGGTTCAAGGTAGAATTGATTGCCATTATCTCCATTGTAAGGTTTGGGTTTTAGAAAACACTTGATATTTTGTTGAAGCACGAGTGCCTTGGACAGTAAATAGCCTGTTCTGTCTTTTGTTCCTGTCAGCCTCTCTGCAACGAGTCTCGGCCAGATAAGAAATTCAGGCATTTTGTCCTAAAAGCACGTCGGGCCCCTGTGTCCCTCTGCAGGCTTTTGCGCCCTGAACTCAAAAGCCTCTTAAGCGCACAGCAGGTCAGTGAGGTGTGAATGGGATTTCTCTTAGCACCCCTGACACAAAAGGCACTGTCACAGGTCTTCCATCGCACGGCGGCCCTAATGGATCCTAATAATGGAGGAGCAGACTCAACACTTTAGCCAAAGACCTGGCAGTTCACGATGACAGCTTTTCAGGGCCAATTTCCGGAAAGGGGAGCATGTGTGGCGGAAGGCAAGCTTGGACGTCAGGTTTTTTTTTGTGTATGTGTAAGAGATAATATGTGTGCATCTTGGGCCGTCCTGTCAGTGCAGGGGCTGGCAGGCAGACTGAAGATGAGTAGAAGGCGGATAACGCCGTGAGGCCTGCCATTACTCTGTCTGTGCTGTAAGTGCACCCGTCTGCATCGCTAAAAAATAGTTAAATGGATGAAAGCTGCCATTTTTCTCAGCGAGGTTTTAACATTTGTGTTTGTTTACGATGTGGAACTAATAGTGCTGTGGGCGTTTCAGGCTTCCCCCGTCTGTTTCCTGTCTCTTTCATGTCTCTGTCTTCATGTCACTGGATTCAGTGTAATCATGCAGCAGACTATAACAGATCCCTCTTTGCTCCCCTCACGTTGCCCTCAGTATTTTAACTCAGCACCACCACATCCCCCTTTTAATCCCGCAAAATGTGAAAATGGCAGCATTCTCTGCTGGAGTGCTGTTCCTTTAGAATTCCCCTTCAGTGGTGCTGACCCAAAAAAGCAATCTTTCCCGAGCAGTTGCTGTTTAAGGTGACTCACTCAACAGCCTGATTGACCTCTTTACCTGTCTCTGTGTGTTTAGGCAACCTCGTAAGAACCCCAGCACGGCGTCCCAGGACTCGTGGGACAAGGTGTACATGCCGGCAGAGGGATTCCAGACATCCAAGGAGAACCCTCGCTACTCGGGCAGCCAGGGATCACGCAACGGCTACCTGGGAACGTCCAGCTTCAACGCCCGCGTCCTCTTAGAGACTCAGGAGCTGCTGAGGCAGGAGCAGAGACGCAGAGAGCAGGAGGCCAACAAGGCCAGGCCACCTCCCGCTCAGGAAACCCCCAGCGGCAGCACCTTCGACCACAGCAGAGACCACACTCAGGCCTCAGGCTCTGCTCCGGCCCCGCCACAGGCCCCGCCTCAGTTAAAGGGGCCCTACAGACAAGACGTTCCCCCGTCGCCTTCTCAGCTCGCCAAGCTCAGCAGGCTCCAGGGGTCCGAGAAAGGGAGGCTGTTTTACTCCTGAGACATGACGAGGGACTGGAGAACTATTGATTTTTGGAGCATTAAGAGGGAAAATACAAAGAGGGCAAAGAGTCTGTTTTTTGTTAAAAGCTGAGACACAAAGATTTTTATGGGACTGCGAACAGAAAATGTTAATATTTAAAAAAAAAGATTTTTTATGATACGAAACATTATCTTTTTAGTTGCTTAAAAAAAATAGAGATCTTTTACTGTCCAGAATTGTGATCATCTAACTCTGAGTGCAAGTGCCTTCTAGTCCATCATCTGTTCACCTTTTGTCGGCTTCAGCCCCTTTTTTATTGGCTCACGATTTGCAGCTTTGACCCATCCATCTGATACATTCAGGCGAGCAGACGTCATGGCAGAAGGCGACCGGTTTTGGCCGTCACTGCATCGCCACATCTGACAGCAGCATGTCCTAAACACAATAACCCAGAGCACAAGACACAGCCCAGGCATGTTTGTGAACCACTCGGGCGCCGGCGTTGACCTCAGTCGATACCACGCTTGTGTGAAGGTGGCTTATTTGTTGCTGTTCACGGGGACTTTGTCGAGCACTTCGCGTTCATGTGAGTGTGAAGCATGTGTGTGTGAGTGTCGGCAGGAGCTGGCATGTAGCGACAGAGTGTGGAGGTTAAGCAGCTTGTGTGAACTGTGGAGTCTTGGGTTTTGGTTTCAGATACAACACTTACCCAGAGTGTGTATCTTCCTTCCAGCCCCTTCCTGTATTCAATATGATAATCCTGAATCCCGTCTTCCTCTGCTGGCTGCTCTATCTCTGTTTTTTCCCCTCACTTTGTCACCCTCACCATACGGCGCTCTCAGTGGAGGGAAACAGCTTTAGACCTGCTTTATTCCCACCCTGTCCCGCCCACCCCGGGAATCCAACGGTGTAAATGGGGTCAGGTCTGGGTTATTAATTAATGTACCTCATTAAATATGAATGGGCCCCTTTGTGTGTGTATGTTGTCAAGTATGGCGAGAGGGAAGAAACAGCGACCTTGCCGATGTGGCTCTGGCCCCGTCCTCGCCTTGGATGATGTGGCTGTAACCGAAGCCTGCTGGCCCCTAGGTGTCTGAGTTGTTCCTTGCTGAATATTTCATCAGGGTGGTTACACTGGGAAACCACATCGCCTGTGCAATAGGTGGCCTCAGTGTGGGGCCGCCCGTCCATCGGCCCGGTACAATGGAGCTGATTTTGTTTTCCTTTCATGATTATTTCCATTGGTAGAAAACCACTCGGGAGCCTTTCCGCCGTTCAATCAATAATTAGCGGTGTAATTTCAGTGTGTGGGAGAGAGTATATGTGTGACCCCGTGTTTGTGTGCCTGTCTTTGTATTTCCATCCCTGTACGAATGAGCTTTAGGCAGACTGAGGATGTTTTTTTTGCAATGTAAGGTTGTTTTTCTTCAAGGGTAAATGTGAGGATTGATTTTGGGTCCCTGTTAAAATTAGGGTCAGTTCAGGGAAAGTACGAAGATTAAAATTTGTTGATTTACTTTATTGATTTAGCTGGTCATTTATTCAGATTTTAGGGTAATTTTTCCCTTCAGTACATAGTATGCTGTTACTATAGCGACCTAGTGACTGTGAATCTGTGCATTAATGCAGCAGGTCAGTAATCAAATTTATTAGCACACAAATCAGCTTCACTAAAACTGGCAGCATTCACAGACGAACACTTGTCTTTATCTGGACACATTTTCTCCACAAATACAACATACTAATGTTACTAGCACAAGCCTATAATGCTAATAACACTGTATAAGTTAGCTTAGCAGCTAGGAACATTTAACAAAGGTAATGTTACAAAGTTCAGCTCCATTACAACTCATAAGGTTCACCGCCAAAACAACTGTCTGATACTTAATACGTTTTCCAAACAAATACAACATGCTAACGTTATTAGCACAAGCCTATGGCATTTTACATTGTATAAATTAGCCTAGAGACGAGCGCAGATTTCCTCTGCTCATATGAAGCCAGGATAAATCACACACTTAAGACTTAAAATGCTATTTTTGTGGAGGCTTCATTGTCTTCACAATTTATTGTTTCTTATCTGTGAAATTAACGTAAATAAAAGCTTTGTTTCCACTGAGGGAAATGGTTTCAGCTTACAGAAGCAGACAGGAGGTCTACGTTGCTATGATGTCTAGTTACATATCTGGGGAGGTGCACGTCAGGCTATGGTGTAGGGTACGTCCAGCAGAAGTATAAATCCTGCAGATTTCATGAGGCTGCTTTGGGTCAGTTTCAGTTTGAGTCAACCTTGGGATGGAATTATTTTGAATACAGGAATGTATCGCTACATGTTATGGTCTTTCCTGCTGCGCTGCTGTCCCAACGATACTTTCCCTGTCATGAACATGCATACAAAACCTGGTACGTGTATACATGGCCAAGAAATCAGCATTTTTCAGGAGAAGTCAGCCCTGCCCTGATCACTGAAAAATCCAAATGTTTCCTAGTTTCTTACAGTAAGAGCAAAACACCAAGCAGCAACCTCTGCAGCTGGAAAATGAAGCCAAAGCTGAAGTGCCAAAGACCGCAGTTAATTTAATGGCCACTGGAGGCTGGCTTAAAGCGAGTCAATCCCTATAGACCCCATGTTGAAATGCTAACTTTACAGCAGAAATAAACATGTGTACAGCCTGGTAAAAAAAACTGTTTTGGTCTCTATAGCTATTTCCTCTGCACTCTAGGCTGGCGTTTTTGGTGGGCGGGGCTTAGCTGGAGGCAAAACAACTCTCCACAGACATTAGCTCTTTTTGAAAAGAGCACAGGACATTACAAACTATGCAACACCTTTAGTGAGAGGTACACTTTTTTACCACTCATCTAAATTAAACATTTATATTATACACTAATTGTCCACCATTGTAAACGAGCAGTTGTTCATACAGAAGAAAAGGACTGTCGGATTAAGACCAGGATCAAGATTAAAATGTTTCAGTTTCAGTCAGGCACATAATGATAAGAGTAGGTTGAGGAGTAAAATCTATTGTGGTTGAGAGTCTATGGTCCTCACAAGTGCATAAAAAGATAGTGTTCTCACACATAAAAGGGGCGTGTGAAATACAGTATCGTGTATTTGTTCGTCTACCAGCGTTCCAGTGTGCGTGTGTGTGTATTTGTGTGTAGGTGGACATGTGTTTAAGCGTCTGCGAACGCTGCCAGTGACTGGATGCTCCAATATGTCTATGAATATGTCTTGGCAGCCATATGAACCACTTGGCTGCTGAGTGGGAGAGGAGCAGAGGAGTAGGAGGGAGAGAAGATGGGAGGCCTGACCTTGCAGATGATTCAGTCAATGGAGTAATCACAACTATTCCTCTGAGTGTGCACTACAAACAGGAGGTTACCAACAAGGCTGCGCTCACTTTTGCTGTCTCTTCTTCTTCTCCTCTTCATTTATCTCCTTCATGTGGTGCCGAATTAGACTCGGTCTTGTTTGTATGTGTGTGTGTCTGTGTGTCTGTGTGTGTGTGTGTGTGTGTATGAGGGGGTCCAACTCTGACACAGACGCTGTTTTAACTGATGTCTCATTGTGATCTGGGGAGAGGTTCAAGTGCCTGCAATATCTAAGGAGTTTTTTCCCTCCTCATATGCAAATTTGATAATATCCCATAATGCACGTTTATTATTTCTGTTGTGTAATTAATGTTTGTGCGCCGCCTCTGTGACACATGGATTCTTCCCATAAAGCTATTGTTTCGAGGGATTTTTTTTTTTATCCTGGGAGAAATGAGAAATATATTGTTATTGTTTCATTGTGTTTTTACGACCATCCCTCATTGTATTTTATTATCCACAGTTTGGTACTATGGTGGTAAAAAATGACTAATATGTAAGCACAGTGCAATTTTCCTTTTTACAACAGTGGTATCATTAAGTTTTCTGCCATTCTCTGTACATACAATATAAACTTTTTTTCTCAGTGAATAAATTGAGGGTGGATTCAAATCCTTGTAACAGTAATTTCCCTTGATTGTGCTGCTTTAACATTCACAAATGGTTTTTCTTCTTGATAACACACCAGCGAAATAAGATGCATAATTAAAGGCGAGTAATGAACACCTTATTTCTTCTTGCTGCTACCACGGTTTTTAATATGAAACGCATTTTTTTCTTTTTACATTATAATTATAAATTTGGCCAGTGTGTTTTTAAGCTGTATTTAGTAAAACTAAGAAGATCTAATACAAAGACGTTTTTCCTATCAGTCATCTGGTTGCCAGATCCCTCTTCGTGCCTTTAACAGCTAAAAATAAAATAAAGTTAAAAAAAGAAAATCAGGATTTTCCACACTGTTCCTCTCATTACTGGAGGAATGTTGAAACAACTACCTCTGCGATAGCTACAGTGAGACATTGGCATTCACTCAAAATGTGGCTCCCACATTTGTCCAAGTGGCAGTAAAAAAAGTAAAAACACATCCTCCCTGTCTCTCCGTCTCTTTAATCTCTGTTCCTGATAGGTCAATGTGACGGCTGGCCGGGAGGTTTCGCCTTGAGCTGGCTGAACTTCTAATAACATCCTGTGATGACTCCTATGGTGATAAAGACAATAGTCAAATTTATGATATCCAACTCCTGGGAAAGGCAGGTTTAAGAATTTGGCCCTGCATCACAGAGCTGCTGCCAAATCTGTCTTCATCCTGAGGAAGGGAGAGGCCTTTGAAAGAATCAGTCTGGTCAGGGTGGAAATATACTAGAAAGCACATGCATCCGGGATGAAAACATCCACTTGTCCATATATCACCTTTGGGGATACGGGGAAAAATTAAGGTGAGAAGGGAGAGGAGAACAAACTGTGGAACTTTGCCCAGACTATGAGAAGACAGATAGAAGCTTTAACTGTAAATAATACCTCAGGGGGGAGTTTAAAATGCATTTAAGTAACTCTATTTGAACATCCCTGCCGAGCCACAGCCAGTTTCCTTCAATATTACCTTTGATTGAGTGTCGATAGAGCAAATGTAGAGAAATGATCCTGCGTTTGGTCCACTCTGCCAGAGGCTAAGAGCAGTGTTTTAGTTTTCACTTTAGTCACATGC